TTTTTGATTAGTAATATTTATAGAGATGCCAGTTTTTTTCCTAAAATAAGAATGAAGAAAAAATGAGAGTGTAAAAAAAAAAAATCTCCATCACTATGGATTAATTTAAGAGCTTTCTGTGTATTTTTTGCTACCAATTTATTTAACAAGGTTAACTTGGATATTTTCAAAATAGTCCATTAATAAAATTAGTCATTTAAATTCTGTTTTTAAATGATTACAATACTTTTTAAGAAAAGCTTAAGTGGTTTGATATTCAAAAACAGACTAAATCTTAAGATTTTACATGTGAGCCTCAATAAAATAAAGTAACCTAAGCATTTTAAATGAAATTGTTGAATAGTGTATAAATCAACAATAAAGCTAAACTAAAAATAGTATTTGGGTATTAGATTTGACAATTTAATTAGATATGAAACTTGGTATCTTTTATTTTTTAAAAATCCTTATCCTTTCTGAAAGTGACACTATTATGTGTTTATAATATCAAATTTCTACTGATATATCACTCTATTTCACTAGTTCTTGTGTTGATGGAATTCAAGTTTGTTGTTACCAGGAAATATTAATTTATTTTCTTTCAGAGGCTTAATATGATATTTGCCTTTAGCATATTGTATGCAGAATACCTTTTACAACTATGTCTAACCACTTCCTCTTGTAATTTAATACCTTGCTTGCAATCTGTAAACAAAAATCAGAAATTGTTAATTAAAATAAAATTTCACGTTCTACAAACTAGTATGCATTTTCTCTGCAAAGAAATATTGATGAAGTTGTACGTTAATGTTGAATAGCATGACATACACTTAAGAGATTTTTAACCCACTGTATTGAAACAGTGGGTTTTTGTACACATTTTTACAGCAAAATCATCCCAGGAAACAACTTTTCAAATACTTAATTCTACACACTCCTTCATTTACAGATTTGTGAGATCAGCATTTATCTATCTATCTATCTATCTATCTATCTATCTATCTACCTACCTACCTATCTATCTATCTACCTATCTATCTATCTATCTATATATCTTTTTAAAAAGAAACCGTCATGGCTGGCAAACGATTTACTGGCTTCTTCATACTTCAGTTCCCACAAGTCACTACTCAGGATTAAGTTTTTGTGGAGTGAACAATTTCCACTTAGGTAACTCAACATTGAGCAGATGCACGGATAAATAAGTATAGCTTCCACTTAACCAATTATAACAAAATAAATATGTTTTCATTTTAAATATTTTCCAGAATGATTTGATTGTCAAAATCTACCGGCAAAAAAAAAAAAAAAGAGCTCCCACCCACAAAGCAGGTTTCAATTCAGAATGGAAGTTATTTGCCCTGCTGGGGCACCTGGAAGGGTAGCGTAGCGGCTCCACCTCCCTGGGCTCCCTGGGGATTGGCTGTTGCCGTGGTTACCATTTGTTTAGCTGCATGGGCGCCGTCTTACCCCAAGGCCAGGGATTTCACTGCAGGTGGGTGAGCCGGACCAGGAGAGCTGGGATTCGAGCTGGGGATGTCAAGGTAGAGCTGTGGGGGCGCGGACTGAGCCAGATCCCCCAACTCCTTCCTGCCGGGTCTGGCTCCCCAAGGGGAAGAAGCCTGGCCGGGGTGTCTGCGGGCGAAGGCCATCTCGGGGCGCTCTCCAGCCTGGAAAGCTTCACGTTCCCTTAAAACAGGAAGATAGCCCCTGAGCATTTAGGGGTCTTCCATAGTTACTACCCTCGGCCCCTAGACACACCTCTCCAGTACACCATCTAATACTTTTCCTTTCCGTCATTCTTCCCCTTTTCTTCTCCTTCTCCCCCCACCCAACCCCACCCCCAAAACATTGTTGCTTTAAGAAGACGTTGTTCCTCGCGTTCAATTACAGGGCTTGAGGAGTGGAGTTTCTTAAGCCTTCCGCCTTTGGGCAGATTTAGCTGACTCCCAGTAATTCATTGTCGACTTGAAGTAGTTTACTATACCTTACTTAGAGTGGACTCCACTGCCCTATAAAGAAACCACCGACTGCAGGTGGCTAATGCAGGCTGGAAATGCAGCTAGTTCAAACTGACATGAACTATAGGTGTAAAATACATCGGATTTCAAAGAATAAGTATGCAAAACAACCCTAATTAATGATTTTTAGGGTACAGGGTATATCTTAAGCCTTATTTTTGATCTTCAGACCTGTTAAAAAAAGAGTAATAATACTACTAGTTTTTATATTGATTATATATCCAAATAACATTTTAGATATATTGGGTTAAATAAAATATATAAAAATTAATCTCAACTGTGCCTTTTTAAACAATTGCTATTAGAAAATTTAAACTTGTGTTTGTGTGGAGATATATTGACGTGGCTGTTCTGAAGCCCCAGTAGATGAGCAGAGGGAGCAGAGCAAGGAAGTGATTTTTACTTTCGCCCTACTCCCAGCCCCTTTCTACATAGTGTTTTCTTGTCTGTGCATTGTTTTGTAGGTACATTTAAAATAAATCAATCTTTCCACCTAATGAACTTTTGAATTGCACTTTGAATTCAAGCATAGGACTCGTTTGTTTTGTTTTCCCTTGAAGGAAGGACATTGTGGGGAAAATTGAGTCTTTTTAGATGAACTGTTGTATGTATGTCTATAAACATATTTATTCATGGCTTTTAAAGAGTCACTCCACATGCATGTATAAAATGCAAATTTAAAATTCTCCAGTTTCTTCCAGAAAGAAGCTTCTGTGTCAAAAAAAAAAAAAGTGTGTGTATGTGTAGTTGCCAAAAAGAGATCTTACTATGCATATATTTTTGCCAATTGTTTTTTCACATAGATTTTCTTGACTTTTTTCCCACAGGAGTACAATAAACCTAATGGCCCTTAAGGACTTGTATTGTATTCTGTGGATCCATGATGATTTATATTACATTTCCAAATGGGTACTTAGGATAACTTTAATTGAATTTTATTAAGATACTTATAAATTTGCAACTAGTTTTAAGAAATAATACAGAATTAATCTTGTACACTCTTCATTGTCTCCCGTGGTATATTTTATAAACTATAGTATAATATTAATCACCATATTGACATTCATACAATCCACTAATCTTATTCAAATTTGCTCTTATTCAGGTTTTCCTTGTATTTGTCCGTGTGTGCTATGTTTTATCTACTATGGCAATACCTTAACAGTTCCCACAGTACAAGGATCTTTCCTGTTGCCTTTTTGCAACCATAAAACTCTCCTTCCTGCCCTGCGTACCCCCAGCTGCCCAATCACTGATCTGCCCTCCATTAAATGTTATATGAATGGAATCATATATTACCTTTTACTCAGCATAGCTGTGTGGAGACTCATAGAGACATCTATATTATTGCGTGTATCAATAGTTCATTCCTTTCATTGCTGAGTAATGGCCTGTGAGTGGATATATTAAAGTGTGTTTAATCATCCACTTATTGAAACATAATGGTTGTTTCCAGTTTTGAGATCATGTGAATATAACTGTTGTGAACTTTTATATACAAGTTTTGGTATAAATGTAAGTTTTCATTGCTTTGAGAGAGATGCACAGGAATTCAGGTACCACAAAGAAACCAGTCTGATTAAATCATTTATTTGTGAAAGAAATATATCTGATGGTGATAGCTAGAGAAGAAGTGAGTGCAAACTTTGTTTTTTAGCATGTGAGTGACTAGTCATGTCTACGTAGAGGCCAAAGGAATAAAATGTACAATGAGGCAGTAATGGGTGAACACAAAGAGTAATGGTTGGAACACAGTTCAATAGGTGAGAAGCTGTCAGATTCAGCGTACAGGTAGAGGAACTATGACTTATTAGGAAGAACTCCTCTCCCAGTAGGATGGGTAGGAATGGATTTCATGAGAAGACATAAGCACCTAATGGTGCTTCATTTTCTTTGCTAACTAGACTGTAAATTCTAAGGACATGTGACTTGTTTCATTTAAACAACATTGAATGAACTGCTGTGAATGCATCTGGTAGTTTCTCAAAATGTTGGGTTCTAATTGAATGAGTAAAATAAATAAGGGAAGGATGGGGAAAGGACAAGGAAGGAAGAAAGAATGGAATAAGAAGATAGGGATTTGGAAGAGTGTCATATAAAATAAAATAATAGCTCATTTTTTCATAACCAAAACAAAACCCACTTATTAAACAGTTTTTACCTTTGGAGACCTTGTAGCAGTGGGAAGAACACTGACTTGGAATTCAGCATCTCAGAGTTAAGATCCTGACCCTACTGCTCATTGGCATAATGATTTTAGACCATTAAGTAACCTTTTCAAACCTTGCTTTTCTCATACATACAATTACTATAGTAATTAATCTGTTAATTTTTCTGAAGATTATCAGTTACCTAAGTATCTTCTAGTGCCTAGCTTTTATTGAATACATGGAAGATAATGGTGGTGGTATGATGAAGATGATAATGATGAGGTGAAGATTTCCTATAACATACTGCCTAACTTACATCAGTACAAGCATTAAGGACTCAAGCACAACAATACATGTTTAGATTAAATGTCATATGTTATCTGCCATTATGTGTTATGTTACCAAAAGCATGGGACTATCTATGGCCGAATTATCCAAATTCTCAGTCAATGAGTATAAATGAGTATAGCCACATTTCATTCATATGTAGATTTAGGTTGTTCTTTTATGTGTATTTTAATATCTATTCAAAGTGTGCAAAAATTGTTTAATTAATTGTGCCATTGAGGACAAGTTTTACATTGAAATTGCTTGATTCTGGAAAGTAAGCCAGTAACATTACATTAATCACACTCTATTTAAATACTTTAGAACCTGAATGATTGGGCAGAAAAGCAAAGCTCTTTAACATATAGTACAACCTTAATAAAGTATGATCACGGTTTGTTAAATTAAAACATGTTTAAGTAGAACTTGCTAGATTGGTATGACAGGGAACCCACAGCTTGTAGACACATAATTTACTTTATTTTTCTTTAAGTGATGCTCTTGTTTGTTTTTTAAATAAAGGATGATGGAAGATGATGATGATGATGCAAAGCTCAAAGAAGAAATAGAAGCAGAATTGGATAAAATCAGCATTTCCTCCTTAGAAAAAGATGAGGTTGAGAGTGATTCAAAATCAGAAACTCAGAGTGATGACAGTGACGCTGTAAGTGTTATACACTTCATGTTTAAGCCTTTTAACACAAATAGGATCTCCAGGAGAAATAGTGTTTTCTCAGTGTGTTTTGAACATTATTTTATTTTAGGATCACTGTTATAAATAATGTATTTTGGTAGATATTAACACACAAGATATATTGAAGATAGAAAATATATCTACATATAGATATGTGGATTTTTGTGGAACTATTACAGATGTGCATATTTGCGTAGGCTTTTATATTTATTTAATTATGAACATTTTAATGTGATCAACTATATGAAAAGAAAAATTTATATAAAATCTTTAGTACAATAGAAAAGTTGCTTTCTAGAGTCAAACAAAGTCTGTTCTCATTTGTGTATTATCCCCTATATTTATTTGCTTATAATATTCATTTATGGACTCATTCTTTTACACTGAAATCTGTGATCTAGTCAGAATTTATCTGCAGGAATGTTATTAAATGTGAAAAACTTTCCTGTACATATTTAGTTAATATTCCTAGTGATCCCTTTTTTCTCAATTGATTTGTCATATGTCTTTTGCATGTATTTAGTCATACACATATGATCTATCCAGAGCTATCCATTACTTTCTATTTTGTTCATTTTTGCCCCATTGTAGTTTTGTGTTTTGAAATATTGAATGAATCAAATTCCTTTTATTATTTTAATATTTCAAAATTTTTTCAACTAAACTTTTCTAAAAGGATGGTGAGATTTTATCAGCCCTTCTACTCTGGATATTAATTAGGATTGTGCTTACCTATTACTTTTAGAAAAGTTACTTTCACATTTTTCTTTTTGTCCACAGTTAAGAGAAACAAAATATGCTGAAATTCTCCATTTGAATATGAAATCCAACAGAATAAATGAATTTTTTTATGTTTTAATACACAAAGGCAAAAAGAACAGCAGTTTAAAATTCTTCTTCTGACTTAAGATAACTAATAATTTTTCATGTCACTCAAAATGAATTTTATTATTAGAAGAAGGAAGCATTAGCTAAAAATAAAACAGCCAAGGATTATAGTTATATTTCACAGCAATATTTTCAGCCAGGTGTCAACATACTTTTTAGTTAATCGAGAAATAAAAATCCCAATTCAGGACAGAGGACAAAAGAGTAGAGTTGATATTTTTGTAAATATCAGGACTAATTTTGTGACTTAGAAAGTTTTTTGGCTCTTCTATTGTGCTAAGGGAGAAAGGTAGCATGTTGTGTTCTGATATCCATTTCCAAAGCTAAATTCTATTAGTTAGCACACAGCAAAAGAGCTGGCTGAAAGTCTTACACAAGGAAACCTAGTATGGCAGAAAAGATTTTTTTTAGTTAGATGAAATGAGGCACATGTGATGTTCTGCATCAGAGACAACTGTGTTGATTCAATCACATTGTGTTTTAGATCTTCAGTAGAGTTTTTGTAGTCATATAACTATAGATTCATAACTTCTGGATTATTCTTAAAATTAATAGATACGCAAATGGATTTACATAGGCTATATTGGTAGACATTATGCAATAGTTCACAAATTTGATAAACTTTGTGTATGACAATAACAAAGCAAATTTTGGAATATATTAAATACTTCACAGGGTGTTAGTTATATATTATATATTTTGGAGAAATGTGGTTTTTATTAATATCTGGTCATATTTAGTTGAAGTTGAAATAGTCTAAAAATTACTTAACTATTGAGGGCATTTAAAAACAAACAACCTGTAATAAATTTAATGAAAATTTTATTTCTTTTCATTTGTTTCCTTAGAATTCTCTAGAAATGCATAACCACCTGAAAGTGAAAAGCAAATTTTAACCAAGTATATTTGTCTGAACTATACTCTGTATTATGGAGTTCTTTTATTTCATTTACACATTTTGCTCAAATTTTTGTTGTGAAAGGAAGAAAGCAATATTTGACACATAATTTTGATAATAATCCCTTAAATCGTTTATTTTACTGCTCAAATTTTAGAGTTTAGATGAATTACCAGAGTCAGTTCTTCACTGTATTAACATCATAAAGAACAAGAGTAAAACTGCCGAAGAACTCATTCTTCAGGACTTAGAAGATTCTGATGTTTTAAGTAAGCACAATTTTCAACTCCTTGGCAGATAAGTTTTCTGAAAGTATGCATAAGTAATAATTTTGAAAGCTAAGTTGTATAAGGTTCTTATCTCTCACTATGTGTATGTGCATACATTTATCTCAAATACAATTTCTATACAACACTAGATTGTTACATTCTGTTCATTCATTTATTCTCTTACTACCTTCCTTTGTCTGTAGTAAGTACTAACGACCATTAATTTGTTTCCTGGGTCTTAATTATTAGCAGACATTTGATTGGTTTAGATTGAAAATAAAAGAAAACTAATCATTGAGCTACTGTAAAATGTATGATGTACACATCTTTTTGGGAGAAAAACAATCTTGGCATCAAAATCCTAACAATCTCCATTTGCTCACATGGATCAATTTTACTTCTTAGAATTACTCTAATAATGCAAAGATCAAAGATTTAACTTGAATTAATTATGTCTTTGTTTAGCAGGAAAAATGACAACAACCCAAATGTTCAACAGGACTTTGGCTCATCCAATAATGCATCCATTAAAAAGTTAAGATAAATATTTAATCACCTAAAACATTCATGATGCATTATTAAAAGCTGTTTTAAAATTCTATGTAATATATGCAAATAGTTTAAATTATACTATGTACATTCATAGGTATTCATTCAAGAAATATTACTGTCTAACAGGATCTAATGTAGCCACTGAGAAAACAGAAGTGAACAAAGTAGGCAAACTACCTGTTCTCCTGTTCTAATGTTCCAGTGTGGGGAGAGAGTAGACAGATTAAGATGTAATATTTCAATATTGACAACTGCTATGAAAGAAAACATCAAGACAAGGGAAAATACCAGAGGTTGCTACTTTAAATAGTGTGGTCAGAGAGATTTCTATGAGAAGGTGATACCTGAGCAATAACTTTAACGAATGAACATTTAAGCCATCTTTGGAGACAAGATGCTATAATAAATAACTAATTTTTGAATAGTTCTGAAAGGTCACACTCTAAGATGAACATCCAAGGTGTAATAAATCTCCCTCCCCATTTCAAAACTGGATTACAATAGAAGCTGCTATCTGCTATAATGAAGAAGTTCAAAGATATTGTTTCATTCTTACACAATATTGTCTCTAACTCAAAACTCAAAGTCTGGGCCATTATGAAGACAATATCACCTGTTTCTCTTTACTTGTAATAGTTTTATGAAAAGAGAAGTTTATGTAAATACACCTTTGGCAGAATCTAAATAACTCTCAAAAACCTAGATGCAAAGTAATCTGGTTAATATTTTTTTCTTTTCTTCTTTTCACAGAGTTAGGCCTGTCAGAAACCTTGTGAATAGGTATTAACAGAAAACATATAATATCCGATAATGCAGGTGTGAGTAGTTAGTTAACCATCAGAATAGTCCTCTGAAAATTGCTATTCAGAAACACTACCATAATATTAATTGAATAAAGGAAAAAATGTAATTACATCTGAATAGCTAATAAAAATCGCATAAAATAAGGAAATGCGTTGCATTTATTTTTAGAATAAAGATATCAGATTTCCTATGTTGTTTATTCTTCAACATTTTCTGTTCTATCTACTTATTGTTACTGACGAGGAGCGTACTCTGATAGAAATTGAGGTTAGAGCAGGATGAAGGGCTGGAGATTTTGACTTGTACTTTGCTCTAACACTTAAAATTACAATAATCTTGCCTTTTTCCAGGCTGCAGCTATGGAGAAGTTTGTAATAATCACATCTATTTAAGGATCGGGTTGTCAACAGCAGGTAAAGAAGATTCTGAGCAATTAATGAAGGTATATGTCCAACATTTGAGTGAAAGTACTTAATATTACAGCTAAAAACTTACCTTTTTCTCTTACATAAGGTTATAGTTCACTGGTCTTGAGTTCATTGATTTACAATTTAAATTTTGATTATTTTAAGCAAATTATGTTCTGGTTTTATGGTTTCCTACTGCACATCACATAAAACTATGGAAATCTCAATAGTTACGAATACTAAAAATGGTAACTTGAGTTCTCAAGATTTGGGAATTTAATGTTCATATAGATAACACAGCACATCTATATCACATTTTTTCCAGAAGTCTATGATGAAAACAATGAATATACTCTAGTGCTTATTACCTTTGCTCCAGCAGAGACTAAATACTGAAACCTTAATTATAGATTATATATTACCTTTTAAAAACAGAGAAACTAAAATATCTTTAAAAAATAAGATTAAAGGAAAGCCTAGCATTTTATTAGCTTAAAGCTCCACAGATACATTTAAGAAAAAGTCTCTTGAACAGATTCACTTCTTGGATTCTTTCCTGCCACTCAACTTACCTCTCTTTAATTCTATTCCTACTCCCTGGGATGTTTAGTATAATTTGAGAAGCACTTATATGTCTCTTAGTCTTTTTTCTGATAAACTCAAATTTGAATATTAACTTTTAATTATAATAGTGCTACTTCATTGGAGTTAATATTCTATCTCTTCCCAACTAGAGTATCATGTAAGTATAATTCTGGAAAAGTATTGATCAGATTTATGATATGCATAATTCAGGTTGAAATAGAGAATAGTAAGTGCTCATTTTTATCATATTGAATATATCAATAATTTGCATACATCAATAATAATTATAAGTTAGAAGGATAGAAAAGCACTAGAAGGAAAGGAATCATTAGTAGAAACATTACGAAATGATTGACAAGCAGAGCAATTGAGTATTATAGATTAATATTAAAGACTAATTTAATAAAACATTAAGAGGATTAAATATAATCTGTTTTCATGGGAAAACAATTTTATTCATAATGAAAATAATTACTAATGTGCTATAGATTTGTATTTTACAGAGGCTTAGAGAAAATAAAATTCTCAGTATATCTGCAATACACTTTTGAAATTATAGCTTTACTCTTATTTTATTTATTTATTTATGTATTATTTTTTACATTACTGGAGAATGAATCCAGTGTCTTGTGCTTGCTAATCAAGTGCTGTACCATTTGAGCTATGTCCCCAGGTTCTTTTCTGTTTTGTAATTTCATTTTTTGAAGTAGAGTCTCTCTAACTGCCTAGGGTGACCTCAAACTTGTGATACTCCTTCCTCCTCCTCTTAAGTAGCTGGAATTACAGATGTGTTCTCCCATGCCAGGCTTCTATCTTGGTTTTCCTTAATTAATCATCATTACTCTTTTAACCTCTTAGATATTATCTGAAATAGAAAAAGAGGAATTTATGAGAAGTCAAACCCGTTGTGCCAATCCAGATTGTATTACTGGGCCCCATCCTTGTGAATTGCATATGGAAGAACATGTTTTACCAGGTTAGTTAAACTACCCTAAAGTATTTTTAACAAGTTTTATATGATTCAAAATTTAGACAGTTTTATTTCTTTTGGCACTTATAAAAACAAATTACAATGCTTGATAACTGTTATGCATTTGTTATACTTAAGTACATGTTTTCATGGTCTTCTTTATGCCTTTTGAATATGTTTAAACTTTTTCCCTATGTATAGCTGACTACAATTGATGTAACTAATCCAGAGTTTATCATCTATCTCTTAACTATGTCACTTATTTCTCTTAGCTATATAGACACATGCACACTTTTACTTTAATTTTTATGAAATATTTTAAGCCAAGTTATTTGCCTTTTTTGTTGACTACAATAAAATTTCCATGGATAGTCAAGAATGTATTTTTTGCATATTATCACTTTCACTTCAAAAAGATGTTGACATTGTTTATTCAGCTCAGCATTGTTTTTTTTAAATTCAGTTTCATCAGTTTTGGCAGGTTTGATGTTAATAATACAGTTGTTTCCCTTCATCAATGCAGGGGAGGAGGCTATAAGTTTTGGATACTGTGAAGTAGAAGAAAGGTGTAGGCAGTCATTTGAAGCGTGGCAAAACAAACAGAAAGAACTAGAAGACAAAGAAAAGGAAACTCTCAAAGCTCAGAGAGATAAAGAAAAAAAGCAATTTCAAGAGGAAGAGGAAAAGAGAAATTGCTGGATGAAAAAATTTGAAGTTGAAAAGAAAAAATTAGAAGATATTCAGAAGGTACTTTTGTTTTTGTTTTCCTTCTTTTAAATCAGTGTAGCTACATATGATGAGTATTCATATCTAGATTATAATGTGAATTGAGATTTATGCATATATGTATGTTTGTTCATATTTGAATATTATATTTCATTATTATCCTGTTTTCAGCAAGAGCAGGACAAGATGAATGATGAACTCCATAAAGAAGAGGAAATGTGGAAAAAGAAATTTAAACAGCATGAGGTATTTTGTTGTTTCCAATCAGTCTTTTATTATTTCCCCTTTTGTAATTACTATGTTTGAAACAGACATTTGTGGTAATAGTGATGTTACAGCATCAAAATTTTATTAATCATTAAGAACTCTTCTGAAAGAGAATGTCCTGAAAATAAAAATTAATTAGTTCAGTGGGTGTGTCTTTACAAAATTTAAATTCTGAACTGTCTTTTAAGACTTAAGGATAGATACTATGCTGAGCAGTTCATTATTATTAAAGACTTCTGAAAATTTACTGTATTTCTTGAACTCAATTATTTGAGTGTGTTAAATAACTCTTTGAGTTTAAGATGATTCTGATGATAAAAAAGTGTTAGTTTTAATATTTGTTCACTCTGTATATAAAGTTATTACAAATATAAAATAGGTAAAGTCTCCCATCATCCTCTAAACATCATTCCTCATTTCTTTCAAATTGATATTTATATAACTCCTGAAAAAGTAGGTTTCTACTGCATGTATTTAAATTAAAATATTAGGCATGTGAAAAGACAAGTTTACATGAGTAACAGGAGAAAAAAAGAAAATTATAATTCACATGAATATAATCCAATTGTTCGATTTAGTAGAGACATTAAAATAAGTACCACCCAAAAACAAAATATTTAAACCTAAGTGACGGAAAAGAGGATTATTGATGCACAGATGACACATGTAGGATTTTCAGATATTCAGGGTTCTTGAGCCTGCTCTGAGAATGAAAGCACAGGTGCACTCCAGCAGCAGAGTTAGGGAAGATTTTATTTGTAGAGAAGAGAAAAGAAAGACTGCATGGCAGGGAATGCAGGGGGACCTGGAAACCAGTGGTCCCGTGGGTCAGGGTGGGGATTAGGTTTTATAGCCATTTTTTGTGTATTGCCTGAGGGCAGAGATGTCTTTCAGATTCAGACTGGTGTTTCCTGGGGAGGAGAAGTGTCTCCTTGACCTTCTGTGGTCTGTCCATCAAGTCTCCCCCTCAGTGACCACCCTAATAGGGATAGGGATGATGAGGTCTATTCAGTAACTGCTTCCTGCTGACAGGGGCATTGGAGAAGCCCACAGTATCAGGGCTGACCACAAGAGGGGTTGTCGAGGGCACCACAATAGTAGGTCATTTTCATCTTCATCAGAGGCATTTGTAGTTTGATGGATTCTAGGCAAGAAGAAACAAACTTGATAAGCAAGTTTAAAATGCAAGGCCCAAACATAAGCAAGAGAATAATAGCAATTATAGGCCCCAGAAAGGGTAGGAACCATGTCCTGGAGGGGAGCCAGGATTTTATTTGATCCCATACCTGTATAGAAACCTGAGTTTCAAGAGATTGCTCCCAGAGCCACTTAGCCTGTTGGAGAATGTAATCTGCACGTTCCTCTATAATGCCTGAAGTGTTTATATATGTGTAACAGGAGGTATTGGTGATGGTACATACCCCTCCTTGTTTAACCAAAAGAAAATCTAGGGCCAGGCAGTGGTGCATGACCCTACAGGCAAGGATGACAAAGACTTTTGCATGTCCTTAATGGCAAGCCCTACCTGGTCTGAGGTGTTCTCTACTACTTTGGTTAGGATTTTTCAGTTACATGATTGACAATCATCCCATAGCTGATTCCAGCTAAGGCTGTAACTAATCCTGTTATCCCTAAAACTATTGAAGTAACCTCCCTTTTATCTCTATGGGAAGCTGTTCCTGTTGTAGTTAGCATTCCCCTTTCCTTCCAAATGGCTGCATGAGCATGCAGGATCAGGAAGGCATACTTAGAATCTGTATAGATGTTGACTCTCTGTTCTTTTGACAGTCTTAGGGCTTTTGTTAGGGCCACTAATTCTGCCAATTGAGCACTTGTGTTAGGAGGAAGAGGACTGATTTGAGGATGCTAAATTCTTTTACAAGTGCAAACCCTGCGTGTCTGACACCATTCTTGACAAAGGAACTGCCATCAGTGTATAATTCTAGATCTGGGTTTTTTAAGGGCCAAGCAGTTAAGTCAGGTTGGGCAACATAATTTTCTATAAGTACCTCCTCACATGAGTGTTCAGGATTTCCCTCTGCCTCTGGTAGAAGGAATGCAGGATTTAGGCTCTGACAAGTCCTTACAATTATTTCTGTCCCTCCCAGAAGCGGGGCCTGGTATTTAAGTAGACAGCTGTCAGATAGCCAAAGTTATCCTTTTGAGTTTAAAATTCCCCTTAGGTTGTATGGAGTATAAACCGTTAGGGGGAGGTTTAGGATAAGTTTTTGAGCTTCAGGCACTAGAAGGTTTACTGCAGCCACTGCTCTAAGACATCCTGGCCATCTCTTGGCCACCTGATCTAATTCTTTGCTTAAGTAGCCTACTGGATGGGGAGTGATGCCCCAGAGCTGAGTCACCAGTTCCAAGGCCAGTCCTCCCTTTTCATAGACATGTAATTGAAACTTGTCTTGTACTGGGAGATCCAGTGATAGAGCTGTCATAAGGGCCTTTTTAACCAGTGAAATGCATTTTCTGACTTCTCATCCCATTCAATAAAAGGCTGGGGATCCTTCTTTGCTACCTTAAGGATTTGATATAAGGGCCTGGCTAGACCTGCTATCCCAGGATACAAATTCTACAGTATCCTGTGACCCCGCAAAAAGCCCTCAGTTGCTTTAGGGTTTTAGGTAAGGGAAATATCAGGATTGGAGAGATTCTATCTTCTCCTAGAGCCCTTATTTCTTTCTCCAGGACAAGACCTAAATATGTAACCCTAGACTGACACAATTGGGCTTTTTCTTTAGAGATTTTATATTCTCTGTCTGCTAGGAAGTTTAGTAAGGATTCAGTGGCTCATGAAATGACAGTCTCATTTGGTCCACAGAGCAGGAGGTCATCTACATACTGTACCAGAGTAGCTTGTGGATATTGCTACTCTGCCAAGTCTTGGGTTAGAGCCAACCCAAGACTGCCATTCTGTCTAGGACAGAATAGTAAGCAGTACCTGGAGGAATTTGGGCTAAAAGCATATAGGGATTTGATACAACAGGATGGAGAGGCACTACTGCTTCATTGATCAGGTGGAGATCCTGGACTAACCTCCATTTGTTAGGTCCCTTTCTGACACCTAGAATAGGAGTATTATATGGGCTGAGCATTCTAGCAATCCTGTCTCTTTAGTCTTTGATTATGGGAATTAGCCCCTTCTTAACTTCTGGCTTTAAAGTACCCAAGAGGGGTTCTTGAGATGAATTAGGACTGGGACTATTGTTTGTGCCCATCCCACAGTACTGTCCATTTATCCACACCACGGGGTATACTTGTTCCTCTATTAGGGGCAAGCAAAAGTACTCTCCTAGGGGTAAAAGGAGCTGTACCCCCAATTTAGATAGAAGGTCTCCCCCTAGCAGAGGAGTAGGGGTTTCTGGGACAATTAAAAAGGAGTGACAGAAATGGAAATCTTGCCAGGAACAGGCTAATGGCTGAGTGAAATAATGCTGTAGAGGCTGGTCTGATATTCCTGAAACAGTAATTTTCTTGGAGGACGTAGGTCTGGAAGAGAAAGGAATAGCTGAGATGTTGGCTGCAGTATTGATAAGGAGGTTGACCTTGTGCTTTTTGAAAGTGAGTATAATCTTGGACTCCTCTGCTTTTACGATGGTCACAGGAGCCTGAATAGGAGGCCCCAGGACCCATCATTGGGTGGGAGGCTCTGGCCTCAGTTCCCCTGGGAACCAGGGACAGTGTGCCTTCCAATGTTTTCCCCAACAAATGGGGAGAGTCCTGCAGGTAGCTTTCTTTGGGGCTCTCCCTCCTAAAATGGCCTGCTGTCCACATTGAAAGCATGTTCTTGGGTTTGGACTTTGCCCCAGGGAAACCTCTCTAAGTGCTGCAATTGGAGCCTCCTGCCGTTTATACTTTCTCTTTTCCTTTTCCAGGTGGTTCTTTTCTTTCTCTAAGTCCCTATTATAGTATGTGACTACATGGACCAACTGGTCTAGATCTCCACTCCCTTCAGCCACCAGCTTTTGAAGCTTTTTATGGATATCTGGTGCTGACTGTTAGAAATTTATCTTTTAAGATGATTTCTTTTTTCTGTGACTCTGGTACAATGTTGGTATGCTTTTGTGAAGTATCCTTATGTCTCTGTAGGAAAGCTACTGGCGTTTCTAAGGGTCCTTGCTGTACAGCCGTGACTTGGGAATAATTAAAGGTTTTACCATGGCTCTCCTTAGACCCTCAAGAATGCAGTGGATGAAATGGTTACAACTCCATTTTTATCCTTGTCATTTTCAGGGTCTCACTTAGGCAGTACCTAGGTACTGCCTGATCTCCTGTTGGAATTGAGAGTCAAGGTTGCCTTTTAGGTATCTGGTGTCTTTGTGTTTTTTCTCCCCCCCCCCCTTCTCCTCTTGTGAGGGCCCAGTCTGAGGCAGGCCTATAGGGCTGCTTTTATCTAAGTGATAATCACCTCCAGCTGTGACTGCCTGGTCTTGTACCTGCTGTTTCTCCAGAGCAATAAAGGTCTGAGATAGAAATAGCATTATATCTTTTCAGCTCAGTTCAAAGTTTGGGCTGACTACTCTAAATGCCTGGTTGTACTGATCTGGGGTTTTTGTGTAATTTCCTAAATCTTTTTTATTTCTTTAAGTTCACTCAGTCTAAAAAGAATATGAGCTCTATTCCCTACAGGAGGGTGTAGAGTCCTGTAGGATGATGTCTGGTGTGTGAGGTAGCTGGATAAGGGGGGAGAAGGGGAACTGATGGATCATCAGATGGGTTCTTTGGTTCAAGGGAGTTTGGGGGCTTTTTGCAAAGGGTCTCCATTGTCTTGGTATCTAGCTCAGCCATTCTGGATGGTCTCTTAGTAAAAAGAACAGTTGAATATATGGAACTTCAGTCCACTTTCCCTCCTTTTTACAGGTAATTGAAGAATGGTATTATGATTAATGCTCCCTCCTTCTGGCCATCTTTCCTCATCTCCCAGAGGATATTGTGACCAAGCCTGGTTGCAGTAAAACTTAAGTTGATTTTGCTGAAATTAATATTTTACTAAGCAGGCAAGGGGGGATCCTTCCTGGATCCTTGAGGCTTGATTCCCCATCTAAAATGGGAAACAAGGGCAAGTTGGTCACTTTAACAGAGGTTTCTCCTTTTACCTAGGTATCTCCAGATGAGGAGAAACTATGTGGGAGAAGGCCTTCCTCTTTCCCTTGCTCTCCTGCCACTGCCACCAGTGGCTAAGGTCATGAGGATTTTTAGGTATTTTGGGTGCAGCCACCCCACTGAAATGACCTCTGACCAATTTCTTATCTATTTTGACTTGCCTGTTTTCCCTGCAACCCAGGTACCTGACTCTCCTTTATCAGCTGAAGGCTTGTAATTTAAAAGTAACTCTATCAAAGTAACCAAGAGGGCTGGCATGGTTAGAGGGAGGACCCCTTCAGAGGAGTGGATAGGGACTCCTGATAAAGTAGACTTCTATACCCCTATATATCCAGTGAGGCATATGCGCTTTTTATGAAAAGAGAGAGAGAGCATCTGAAGGCTTTTGCTGTGGTAAGGGGCAAAAACGGAGAAGACCATGAGGTCTCTGCCTTTTAACTGTTTTTTTTTTTTTTCTTTTCTTTCCCTGGGGGGGATAGAAGGGAGTGGGAAGGGACACTCATCATGAACTACTTGGGAAAGGGGAAGGAGAAGCTGAGGATTGGGGGGAAGTGAGTTTCCAGGCTAAATGCATGAGGGATTATTGGTCACTACTGCTGTCCAGGTCGATCCTGCTCAAGAGCAGTACTGGAGCACTGGAAACTAGGGGTGACCTCCACTCTCAGGCCACGGAAACCATGAAGGAAGCGTAAGAGATCTGATTGTCTGCTTGCCACAGACATGGCTGGAGGGGTCTGAGACTTACCACCTTTGGAGCCTCAGGGTGGGTCAGGAAGTTGCATCTCCAACCTTTGGGTGACACCAGGGAGTGCCCAGGCCAGAACACCCTTATAGCTTAAAGAGAAATTTTCCTTTCCACTGGCTGTTTTCTCATCTCCTCTTAAGCGAGTCAGATCTTGAAAGAGAGAGAGTTTAAGGAGAGGAAAACAAAAAACCTCTGTACACTGAAGTCTGGCTCTGCCCATGTAGCATTGACAATCCAGTATAAGCCCCCGGCGGGCCCCTCAGTTCTCTCAGGTTGCCTGCCTTACAGCTGTATTGGGCTCAGAGCTTTTCCTCAGTTTCTCAAGGGAGAAACCCTTCTTAATAACAGAGAGAGAGAGAGAAAGTTCAGCCTGAGAGATCCACCATAGCTAGGCCATGGTGGGGGGCTCTCCTGGACAACAGACTCCATCAGAGTGCTGGATGGTCATGGTCACGTTCCTAGGCAACCTTTCCCAGTTTGGCACAACCTATATAAGCACGAAGGCTCGATCCTTTGTGATTTGCCAAATATGATGCACAGATGACATGTGCAGGAATTTCAGGTGTTTTATAGCCATTTTTTGTGTACTGCCTGAGAGTGGAGATGTCTTTGAGATGCAGACTGGCATTTCCTAGGGAGGAGAAGTGTCTCTTTATCCTTTTGTGATCTGTCCTTCATTATAATCTATAATGAAGTATCAGCTATATGTTTTAGAGTTTAAATATTCAGTATGAAAATTAAAAATGCATGGACGAGTTTGACAGTATATTGGACATAGCAAATGACAGCATTGATGAAAAAGAAAAGTCAATAGAAAATGTCCAAATTAATGCAGACAGGACAAAACACAGGAAAAGCAGAAAAGAGTCCAAAAAAACAAGTGAAAAGATATGCAATTTGTATGAGAGCAATGGCGAAAGGAGAGGAAGGGCAAGAACAAAGCAGAAGTAATGGGTAAGATCAACAGAGATTAAGTTTTTTTTAAAAAAAAAATCAACTTGACATTCAAAGATGATTAATTATCCCTAAATAGGATAGATACAATGGAAATAAATCACACCTAAGTATTTAATAGTGCAACTATTGAAATTCAAGGCACAGGAAAAAAAGTCTTAGAGCACTGTAAGAAAAAGACACATTTCCTGAAAAGGAACAAAATAAAACTAGTAGCTGACTTCAAAACAGAACAAGGATTTAAGTGCTAATTAGTGTTCTTTGTATCCTAAGTCTCACTTGCTTTTTGTTGTTTTGGTGGTTCTGGGGTTTGAACTTGGGGCTTCCAACTTTCTGGCAAGTACCCTACCCCGTTGAGCCAACATTTTGTCTAGTTTAATAGTTTCTCCTTTCTCAGAATTGGTTATTCCTTCTGCTTATTGAATGCATTGTCTCACATCCTTTGTGTTAGTTTTCTTAAGGATTTGCTGAACTTTGTTATCTGTTTACTTTTGTTTTAGGATCCTAGCTACAATGATATTTTATGACATAACTTCAAATTATATCACTTTTTGTATTTATCAATATTCTTGAAAGTTGAGAAGCATGAGATGTACAAATAGACTGACTCTTCATGTTGCTTGTATACGTTGACTTCCTGGTCCTCTTGGTATCCTCAGATTCACAGAGTAATTCCCTGCTTTTGCAGTCCAGTGCTAGCTCTGAGTGTCGTTTAGTGGAACCCCCATCTCAGAATGTTTGAAGTCCCCTTCTCCTTGAATTCGACCTTGATTTTTTCCTTGCTGTTTTCCTATGCCATGCTGATTTCATATGCTTTGTGTGTGTGTGTGTGTGTGTGTGTGTGTGTGTGTGTATTTGTTACTAGGGATTGAACTCAGAGCTTTGTCCTTTCTCTGTACCCCCATGCTCCCAACCCTTTTGTTTCTGAAAGAAGGTCTAACTGACTCTGCCCCAGGCTAATCTCAAATTCAAGATCCTATGCCTGTGTCTCCCATATATCTGGGATTAAAGATATGTACCACCATGCCCATTGATTTTATATGCTTTCTATCTTCCAAGAATTCATCAATTTATATGCATATACTGTTAGAATATTATCAACCTACCAATGTTATCCAGTCGCCTACACATTTAAAAATTAATACCCTGTAAATCAAATAATTTTAGTTCCTCTGGTGAATTTTCTAGTAATTTTATTAAAATTTCAGGTTGAATATTTATTTATAATCTATTAGGTTAAATGATATTTTAATAGTATTACACATTTGTCTTATACTGACTGCTACTTATCTTAATTTTAGGAGCATATTAGAAACTTGCATTTGCAAATGGAAGAGGAAAGAATAAAGTTCAATGACTTACAGGAAAAAGAAAAACATCGTTTGTCAAAACTGCAGCATGATGCAGCTGTAAAAATTCAAGCTAAATATAAAGCATTCAAAACCTACCAAAAGTACAGCCTGATCATAAGAGAACAAATAGAAAATAAGAAAAGGAAAGCCCAACAGTGGAAAGAAATGGAAGCAAAAATAAGACAAAAGGATGAAGAAAGACGAAAAAGATTAGAGGAAAAACAAAGGCTTGAAGAAGAGATAAAAAAGCAGAGGCAAGAGGAAAGGAAAAAGAGAGAAAAAGAATATGAAGAGAAAAAGAACATTCTGAGACAAGAAAGAGAGGAACTAAGAAACAAGGAAAAATTAAGATTAAGAGAGGATGCAGGCCAACTGTTAATAATAAGGAGTGCATTAAAGAAGGATGAATATAATGTCAAAAATTTAGTTGTCACAGATATGTCAAAGAATAAGTCTGGTATAGCTAAAGTGTCAGTGGATGTAAATTCAAAGAAGCAGGAAGATGTTCCTTTTGGGCTAGTTGGGGAATCAAGTAAGAGAGAAAATGTAGATAGACAGCTTATATTGAAAGAATTAAATCAAATACAGTCAACATCAAACCAATCAATTTTGGCAGAATCAAAGAGAAAAAAAAGTGAAAACCTAGCACAAAAACAATGTTCTCAAAAATTGGTTAAGCGAGAAATAAACTGTGAAAATGTGAACCAAAAAGATGAATTAGAAAACTCTGATCTAAAAGACAATGTGATTGTGCAGTTTCAGCTGCAAAAATTAAAATCTCAAACACAAGATGGGGAAAGTGTGGAACAGGCCATAAATGAGAATATGGAAGAAGATATCCAAATAATGTTAGGACAAAATCAAGAAATTGAGATGAAAAACAGCAAAGCACAGAAAGCAATCAAAGATAACCAACAGAAAATAGTACAAAGAGTAGAAGAGGAGGAGATATCAGAACAGAATGAACCATTGTACGAAGAGGATAATACTTCAATTTTTTCAATAAAACAAAACCTACTATCACTAAAATTAGAGGATTCTGGGGGTATGCCAGGAAACGTAAAGCTACACGACAAAGAAATGGACTTCAAATTCAAGGAAATTGAGGAAAATGCAAAAGTCAGTGCCGAGAATAGTGACATTGTGATTTTTAACATCACTGATGCTGCAGTAGACACAGAAGGCAAAGTCAACAATTGTGTTTTAGGCAGCAGTGCTGCTTGTGAAGACTTGAGTGGTGATAATGAAGAAAGTTCCTTGGTTAAGAAAAAGGTCAACTCTCTTGAATCTGAGATGAAGGAAATTCCAGAAGAATGCCATGGAACGAGGAATGAAAGTGAAAGTATCACGATCCATTCCACCCCAGAGTTGCCATTTTTATCTTCAGTTGAGGAAAAGAGATTAGTTTGGATAAAATCATTCAAATCTTGGTTTGAAGTTTTTAAACAAAATCAACAGGACAAAGTTATTAAAAGAAAGAGACCTGTGAAATGCCCCAACAATGTGATGTCCCCTTTGAATACATTAGAAATTCTTCAGGGTGGCCCTTGGAATACTTTACAGCAGGTATTTCTAATTTTACAATGCTTTTTTCACACTTAATTAAAGTAAGTTCTCTAAAGGTAATTTTTAAAATTTTAATAGAAAGAATATTTCATATGCATGGATTCTGTCTCTTAACAGATAAATGAACTATTGCTCCTTTTAAGAAGGGATAGACTTTTAAATTTTCAACTAAAGTTATTCAGAACATTACCTCCTTAAACTCTAAGAGCTTTGATTTCTGTTTTCAAAACCTTGCACCTAGATTTGGGATCCTATAGGTATAATTAAGCTCCTCAGAGTGGAAGCACCTGACCTCAGGGTTAGGCTTACAGTAGGAGCCTCCTAATCTGAAATTGTTAGCTCACTTCACACTCATCTAGTTGCTCTTCTGTGAATGAAGTGGATCCCCAGTACCTGGCCATTTCTATGAAGGATGAGCTTACATGAAGAGGACCCTAGATTCCTACATAGAAACATAATTATTGAGTTACATGGTATGTAATGTGCCACATTTAGTCTGAAACTTAAAAGTAGTTTTTATCAAATGTATCTCATTTTCTGTGGTTATGGAAGACAAAGTTTCAACTAAGATTAAGATGTAGAAACTAACTGATGTATAAAAAATGGGAAAGAACGTTTTAAATAGTGCAGTACTATGAAGGATTTATTATTAAAATGTATGTATTTAAAGCTTAAAGGTCAAAGGGATTGAATAAAATTTGTTTAATTTCTTTTTACTCCTTTCTTTTCTTTTAACAGTTGTTGCTACATACTGGCCTCAAACTCACGCTCTGCTTGCCCCAGCCTCCCAAGTGCTGGGATTACAGACACATGCCAACACACCGTACAAAGATTTTTTTTTTTTCTTTCCAGTACTGGGGATCAAACCCAGAGCCTCTTGCATACTAGGCAATCACTCTGCTAGCAAGCTACATTTCCAGACCTTTTTATTTCTCAATACAAACAGATACATAGAAATGGCAATGTTTATATTAATAGATAAGCATTTTTAATTCATTTTCTTGACAAGGATCCATTTGTATCAAATATCAGTGTTCTTTGCTCAAATATGATAGATCAGTATTTATTGGTGGACTTAAGGGACAAAAGTAAAGAAAATCCAGTCTTTGCTTCAATGGAGCTTAAACAATTAAATACACAAATAAATATTGTATTACAGATCTTGATGGTTGCTATATATATGATTTCAGACTACACTGTGAAAGGACAATAAACTAGTGGGGTTTAGAAGAGACATCTGGGGACTGTGGAGTGTCTCAAGTGGTAGAGCACCTGCCTAGGAAGCATGAGGCCTGAGTTCAACCCCCAGTACTGAAAGGGAGAGAAAGAGAGAGAGAGAAGAGAGAGGGAGAGAGAGAGAGAGAGAGAGGGAGAGAGAGAGGGAGAGAAAAAGAGAAGAGAGAATCTATTTCCCAGTGAATGTACTAGCCTTATTTATCAGGTCTCTATAGCTACTTAGATCCTTTCATTTGCTCTTCCCTTGTTTTTCTTTCTCTTTGTACTTCCCAGATATTGTTTCAGGCTTTTCAATGCGTGACATTAACAATGATTTTATTTTAGTAATTTTCTTTATGAATATCTTTTAGAGATAGGCCTCAAGTGCAACTTGTTTCAAAAATGAAACTGAAGATAGTAAAATAGAATTGCTCTTCTTTTTTAGTATAGGTCTCTGTTCTGTCAAATGAGGAGGGCACTGAGAAAGTTAAGATTTAGAACCTCTTTCTCCTTGATGTTCCTTTGCCTGTCTTCTTTCTATTCATTCTTTGGAATGCTCATCAATTTCCATAAAATGAGGATTTTACTTTTTATATTAATTGAGTCAAGAGTCTTCCTATGTAGCCCAGGCTGGCCTTGAACTTACAATCCTCCTGCCTCAATCTCCTGGGTGCTGGGATTATAAACGTGCACAATCACATCCATCTGTATTCCTTTTAGAGCAAGGCTAGCAAACTATAATGCCATAGATCACATGAGCATTTGTTGAAATGCTGATTTTAATTCAACTGGGCCGGTGATCAGTGGACTAAATATTCAGCATTTTCCTGGGTGATATGAGTAGTACTGGTCCTCAAACTAATTTGAACAGCAGTTTTCTAAAGGATGCTGGAAACCTGTCGCCACTATTGAAAGCAACAGTTTCAAATTTTATTTTTTCTTTGAAGAACCAAATATAAGCACAAAAATGTACATGAATATGTCTTAATGAATACTGAAGTATTATAAAATACCATCGTTTGTTTCTAGACAACTCCTGCAATGATGTTTGTCAGATGACTTGCCACAGTGTCTTCTTTACCACAGCTACTGATTCACTTCTCTTATCCAGGATAAATTGCAATGAACTGCTATTGTATGGCACATGAGTTACTTGAGGTTATTTTCTAGCTGTTTCACATAAACCACTTGGACTCAGTCTCTTTGTATCCAGTTTTAAAATAATATTTTTATTTATTTTTTTCTCTATTGAATTGATTTCAATAGAGAAATATCTTGGACTCAGTCTCTTTGTATCCAGTTTTAAAATAATATTTTTATTTATTTTTTTCTCTATTGAATTGATTTCAGATTGGGTCACTGAACAAATGTTTTAGAAAAACTAAAAAATAAAGTTGTTGCTTTCTTTACTTTGTAATTAGTTTACCAAAGATGACTGGCACTCCTTATGTTGAACTCAAGAATGCAGTTAAGATTGAACTCTCTAGGACTGGAGGTGTGGCTCAAGTGGTAGAGCACCTGCTTTGCAACTGTGAAGCACGCCTCCCTATACAAAAAAAACATTTTAGGTTATTTTATATCCAATGAGCTGTCAAAGATTTGTAAAACTATAGATTATTACATTGAATTTATTTGTAATCCTTTATTAAAATATGAATTTATTTGTATCTTTTGCATAATTCATTGGTTCTATAACTGGAAGAGTTCATTCTCAAGTCATTGAGAGCATGGAAAGACAAACTTTTCAACTCTGTCATCATCCTTTTAAGGAAAGAAACTATGGATGTTTAAATATATTTGACTCTTGCCAAAGGCTATGGCAGTTCTTTCACTCATTTACATAAGAAATATTTGGCCAACATGCACTATGCTCCGATTGCTGTTTCTTAAACTGACTACAGCAATGAACACATGATTACTAATTCTATATTGCACTTAATTTTTGGAGCACAAAGAACTTTTGAGTATGTGATTATTTTTATTCATGTGCCAAGTATTTAATACAAACATTTATTTTGATCTATGTTTGTGAAAATCTAGGGAATGATGGAGAATATATTACTATACAGTAAGGAAATTTTTAATGTTCAATAAAAGTGGATTATAGTAACAATACTGCTGGCTATTGTTATTCCTGTACTGTAGAGAAACTACAATATTCAAATAACTAGAACTTCATTGTGTTTACTGAGTTTATTAAGCAGGTGTTCTACCACTTGAGCAAAAGCTGCTTTTATTTTTTGAGGTTTGAACTCAGAGCCTTATGCTGGCTAAGGAGGGGCTCTACCACTTTAGCCACTTTTACAGCCCTGCTTATTTAGTTTATTGAAAGTAGCATGTTATTAGCATGTTATTACTACAATAAGTAGTAGCTATAACTGTCAAGTTTTTATTTTTAAGTTCTTGATTCTAAACACCATTTTCCTATTTGTAGTATAGAGTCAATTTTCTAATTATAGAATTTATATTTGGTTACATTTAAACTGAATCACTCAAATGAATGATTATATTTTCTTTCTGCAAAGCGATGAGAAATAATGTGTTTTGAAAATTGTTTTAGAATAATGTAGAAATTCTTAGGGTAATTATGAAAGTTCAAACTCATATTTACCTGAAGTTTTCAAAATGATAATTATTGCTTTTGTTACTTGAAACAAGGAGTAGATTAAATCCCTTCTTTTTATTTCTATCAATATATGGTCCTCTGTTTTGCTTTAATATCTGGGGATTCCTTAGATCCTGTCAAATACAAATCATAAATCTTGATGTATTAAGATCCTGAAAATAATCCCAAGGCATGGAAAGCAACCAAAATGTTAATTTGACAAAAGCAAATGAGTGAGATAACAAATTATTGTATTATTGATTTCATGTATTTTACTTTTGAACTTGAATTGGTCATGGATGACTACAATATTTTGTCTTTCTAAATGGGAACAAAAGAGACCTGATAGCTTAATAAATGTGGGGTCCAATATAGAGTACCACTGAGGAAAATTTGCTAATCTATTTTGAAAGACTAGATTATTTTGTGTTGTTAAATAATGTCACCATGATTTTCTTGAATTCTCTAGGTTACATCTGTTACATTTCAAGATTTGCCAGGTTGTAATCTCTCCACACTGGCAGAGTGTATAAATCTGAAGTTTCTGTCTCTTCGACGCTGTGGACTAAATTCTCTGCACAACCTGAGTAACTGCAAAAAAATTAAGTACATTGATGCACAGGTATGTCCTAGGTTTTACTATTACTTACCTTATCATAAAATATAAAACAGATTCATGTTTACATTTCAGAAAAGTTTGAGGAAACAATTACTAAGAAAAAATCCTGTAATTCAGGGTTGAAAGAGCTCAAGGATTTACTTGTGAGAATCAGAGTAAGAAGATAATTTGGTGTTAAGACTTAGCAATTGCTTATCACTTTTTGTACATGGTGTGGTTATTATTTGTGTTACATTTTACTGCATACAAATGAGGACATTATTTGGTAGCTTAAAACAACTTCCATAGTATTTGCTCACCAATCTGTGGCTAGGCTTGGCTGAGCATTTCTGCTGCTACTGACTTGGTCTCTTATGTAATTACGGTCAGATGGAAGTTAGATCAAGAAGGCCCAAAATCCATTCTTATAAACCTGGTACCTTTCCAGGGATGTCTAGGAGATTGGAATCTCTCAGGATCATTTTGGAATTCTTTCCAGAGTAATCAGATGCCAAGACTGAATGCTCCAGAAAGACAAGCTCCAAATCAAGCAGCCGCCTGCATCATGCTGGCTAATGATTCTTTGGCTAAGCCCTCCATTCATGTGGGAGGCGACTGTGTAGTTGTGTGAATGAGGTCATGAGGTTTACTAGGAATGACCAAAGTAACAATCTCTCAGTCTCCCCTCTTTCTCCTAAGGATTCGCATAATTCCCACATGCAAAATATTCTCATGTCACAAAGACTCCAAAGTAGCATCAATCTATGGCTTAGCCCAGACTTGAAGCATAGGATCTTTGCATATAAATTATATCCAGGTGCTGCTAAATCTCCTCAGGTGCTGTTTCTTGGCTGCATTCATTGAGGTGTAGACCTTGCAACTCAGAGAGCTGAAAAATGAAACGGTAACACCCCCCTCCTCAACTCACATGCAATGGTGAGCAGGGCTTGGATAACTACAATAGCTATTCCCATCCAAAATACAAAAAATGAGAATGAGAAAAAATTCTCTTGTGTTCATTTAGGTATTTGAAACATTTTCTACATTTAAAAAAGAATATTAATAAATTAAAATTTAATTGATTCTTCACTAGGTTGCTTAATATTTTTACATAGACAGTGTACCAGTTTATATGATTATCTTAGAAGATAGAGATTCATTTATTCATTTGGAGATCATATCTCATCCTTTATTTGCAAAATTTAAATATTATTAATAACCCATTAAAATAAATTTATTACATTTGTTCTTTAGGAAAACCATATTGAGACCATCAACTGTGAAAATTTGGAGAATCTCTGTGTTGTTCTTCTTAATAATAATCAACTCACTTCTCTTCATGGCTTGGATGGTTGCACTAATATTCAGAATCTTGAACTTTCCCATAATAAAATCACACGAATTGGTGAGAACAAGTTAATTTAATATTTAAACATTGATTTCCCAAGAGTATATTTTTTCTTTTATTCTCTCTCTCTTTCTCTGTATTCCAAGGAACTCAGATTTTTTATAGTTCAAAAAATTTCAGTCGTCTTATTATTTTTCATACTGCAATTGTCTTGTATTCTGAATTTGAATTAGAGATATCACATATTGATACCTAATTCAAATCAACTTTTTAAACTTTGTGGTTGTATTTGCTTACTCTTCTGCTATAAAATTCTATAATCTTTAGTTTATGGTAAAAATAGCATAGCTACTTGTTATGTCTTATCCATACATAGCTTCAAAACATCAATGCCAATATTGTAACTAACTACAAAACTTAGTATTAATTTTAAGATTTCTGTGCATTTCTTTTGTCCTTGCATTGTGTCCCCCAAGAAGATATGATTAAAGTGGTATGTACTAACATCAATTGATGTATTTTAAATTTATGACTATCTTAAGAATTTAATATATATCTAGTAAACACACTTTTCCCATTCAATTCTGCTTTATTTTTTTTTCTTTTATTTTTTATCATTTTTACATTTACTTACATGTGTATACATTGTTTGGGCAACCTCCCCCTCTTCCTTCCCCCATCCTTCTTACCCCCCAACCCATCCCTTCTCCTCCCCCTCATTCCTCACTTCTGCTTCCAGGCAGAACCATTCTGCCCTTTTCTCCGATGCTGTTGAAGAGAAAACGTAGGAGATAATAAGAAAGACATAGTGTTTTTGCTACTTTGAGATAAAGATAGCTATACAGAGAGATTTCTAGCATTGCTCCCTTGCACTTGTGTATTGCAACCCAAATTTGTTCATCTCTACCACACTGCTTTATTACTTCCTAGTCCCCTTCCCATAGTGGCTTCTACTAGTTTAAGATTACTATATTAGCTCCTTTACAGTGAGCACAACATATATATGATCCCAAAATGAAAATGGCATTTAACCTCAAAAAGGTTATGCTTCTTCTGTCCATGTCCTTTTCATTATGTTCTACCATTTACTTTTTAATTTTTTGTCTTATACCCACTCCACTATTCTCCTTTTTCCTGCCTCCCTCCATTCCTGGAATAATTTCAGCAGGTATCATTTTTTCATTTACATACATGTGTACACAATATTTGCCCCATATTCACTCTCCCACACTTTTTCTCCACTCCCACTAGTACCAGTCCCCCAGGCAGGACCTGTTCCACCCTCCTGTTCTTTGATTTTATAAAAGAATATTCTATGATATTTTTGTTGGTTTAAGCTAACTACATAGTGAGTTTCCTTGTGGCACGTCCATGTATACATGTATTATAGCCCGATTCGGTCCTTCTCCTTTGTTTTTCTTCTTTCTACCTTAGTGTCTTTCTTGTGGTGGTTTCAACCATTTAAAAAATTCTATATTCTTTCTTGTACATAAAGTACTTCAATTATATTCGCCTTCTTAATGTCCTTCTTTGCCCCCCCACCCACATTTGCCCTCCCTTAGCATGACCTGTTTTTCATAATATTGCTGTATTTGTGTTAGGTATATATACCATTACTTTTATGTATAGAAGTTTTAATATATATATTTCTTTAATGTGTATATATTTGCATGTGACATATACAATGATGCATAATATGTTTATCACAAGTATGTCCACATTAATATACATATATTTAAGAAAATACATGTATGTATGTTAATTCTTTCACAAAATATAGCATGTTTTAAGCATTGTTCTCTGTCTTGCCTTTTCTCATTCTGTCATGTAAGTTGAGTGGAGTCTATCCCATTTGTGCATTGGGGTATTGATTGGTTTACAGTCTTCTACATTGTCACCATGAATATCTTGACACTTAGTTAATAGTTGATCAGGTAGATCCTTAGGTTAATTTCCTACAAGTTGCTTTGTTGGGTCATAGAATATCTGTAATTTAGGAAAATATTGCCAGACTCTTAATATGTAGTGCCATTTTACACTCCTATCATTAATAGTTGATTTACTATTTTCTTCTCATTTTTTCCTGTTTGTTACATTTCCATTTTTGAATTAAATACCTAATTCAGTTATTTTTATCTTCTTTCATTTTTATTGACACAGTTGAATCTATCAATTTTTCCTTTCAGCTTAATCCAGAGTTTTGGATATGTAGGTATTTTCATTTGTTCTGCAGTTTTAGGTTGTATTTTTACTGAAGATTTAAATTTTCCATGTGGAAAGGTTGGCTTTTATTATTCTTTCTAGTTTTTTGTACTATAGCCAGAGTATAATTTTTTTCCATTTCTGATTTTTGAAACTTTTTGTGGCTTTCTTGCTAGTTATGTATGTGGTCAATTTTCATGAATGGTTTATGTGAATGGAAAAAGAGCAGATTTTTTTTCTCTTTGAGACATAATTTTTTCATCTAAAAATCTTACCTTAGTGATCATCTGATTTAGAGTTTCTTGTCTACTTGATCTATCTTGGATTGAGGGATTTGAACTTTTTCTAATGTTTATTATTAATGTTTTATTAATAGTTGGTTCATTTTTATATGTCCTCCTTTTTTTGCTCCATGAGTATGACTTCCATCCAGTTTCACAGATAACTGTGTTATTTTTATTTTAAATTTTAATTTTGAATTTTATAAGTTCCCATATTTTTAACTTTCATGCCTTTAAAACTGAATTCTATCACTTCTGTTATGGTTGTTTTTGTTTTTATTTGCCTTCCTGATCATCTTTTATTTATTTTTAAACTTTTTGAATAACTATTTTAGATATTTACATTTATTCAGCACATCTTTGGCTTTATTGTTTGATCCAAGTTTAAAAGTTTGCCATATAGACTATTTGCATTTATTAATTCAGGTTATATATTTGGTTTCAATTCTGTCATTCAACTCATAATGGTGCTTTCTCTGGAGAGAAGCCTGTTGACCATACATGGGTTCTTCTACCTCTGTGGCACTTTCATATTTCATCTATTCCATTTCAAAGAATTCCATTTTCACAAATGCAGACTCAGACTGGATTAAGGTAGTGCTGGTTAGTTGTTATGCACTTAGAAAGAAATTCAAATTGCAATGTCTTTATCTCCCATTATACTAGGACTCTTTGAGTTCTGGTCATTTTTCTTTTTGTTGTTTTTATCAATTTTTCTAGAAAGTATGGGGGCAGTTGGAACTAGGTAGTAGACATCACCCTTTCTCCCTTTTAAATATAGGAAAATAAAATTACACTTGTTTTCACAAAGCAAGCTTTTCTTTTTCAAGATATTTTTAAAGGTGTAGTTTCAGGAATACATTTTTTTTAGTGTTCTGTATGTATTAATTTACTTATGTTCCTATGCTACATGCTTTAGAGCCATCTGTGACTTCGCCAAAACGGAAATACTGAAACTTTTGATAAATGTTTTTAAACATTTTAAATTCTAGTGTAAATTCATATAGAAATAATTTTTAATGAAAACAAATGCATTGATAATGCATGTTACTATGTTTGCACACACTAAAGCAAACTTTTAAAATAAGGCTGCTTTTAAAAGGAAATGTTTGAACTAGCATCTTTATTTCCAGCAGTGCTGTATGGGAATTTTTGTAAGTAGTGGATTTCCTGGGTAGGATGCACACAAGATTTATGTGAAAACTGCCACAGTATTAATTGATGTACCTGAGGTATCTCTGTATCTCTGTATAGTACAAACAAAAAAAAAAGACTTCTGGCTGTGGGTGCAATGAAAACACTGTATTTATTGGGTGTGAGAAGAATATGCATGAGAAAGTACATTTTCTGAAGACCAGGTGGAGTCTGGTTTTCATCTGTAAGAACGGATTAGAGATTCTCCTTGAGGTAAGCAGAAAGCACAGATTTTGTCTTCAAACAGTAATATATTGCTGCTGAGAGCTCTCATAAAGGGAAACAAAGATAGATTTGTGTTTGTAAGTCAATAAGTTACTACTCCACACTATAATATTTCATAAGAAGGTGAAATAAAACTGGAAGCAATACCATAATATTTTACATGTGTGGTTTCAAATTTAACTTGTTTCTAATTCTTTTTAAGCTGTAGCTATTGTAGTAGTTAATATGCAATGTTAACTGTAATTATTCTTTTTATTCAAAAACATTGATGCATAATTTTATTTGTTTGTTTGGTTTTCTTTCAGTTAAGTGATTAAGCATACCAAAGGCCATTCTCCTTAAGGAAATTCATTTGAAATTAGGATTAATTCATTAGAACTATGTGGTTGTAGAAATAGAGACAATGTGAAATACGTATGATTAATTTCAGGAATGAGGTATTTATGAAATTATAGTTTAAATTTAATTCTTTAAATTCAATGTTACAAAGTTAATAGCTTTTTATTATTGACTTTAATATTTACACAGATTGTATGTTGTGGCTATGGAAAGATATATTTATATTATTAATTATAATTGAAATATAAATTAAAATTATAACTATAAATGAAAGCTCTGAGATATGTACATATTGAGTGCAGATTATTTAACCAATTAAGTAAAGGAATAAACTGTTATATCACAGTGTACACTTTATGCAAATTGCGTAATGATACGAGGAAATCTGTTTACATTTTATATTGCTTTATATTATTGGATCTGTTTTGGAATCAGGTGTTTGTAGAATATTTTGATGCAGGATGGAATTATTTGTGCATATTTTGAATCCACATGGTAATAGCTTTATGCTGACGATCACATTAAAGAGATTGAAGCATTGAAAGAAATTAGGCAAAGGATGTGAATTCATATTTCCCAGAAAAATGAGTACGTGGTCCTTAAACATATTAAATGTAATTCAACCTTAATCATTCATTAAATAACTGAATTATTATTTCCTAATTATAACATTAGCAAAATTCAATTTTAAAAGCACATTCAGTTGTCAAGTGTGCACTGGAGCAGGTTACGGGATGCAGAGTTTGACTAATGACAGAGAGCAAGGTGGTGATATTTGATAAAAGTACAAGAGTATTTGCTCTTTTACCTGCAGGT